CCGATACCGTTGCGACACTATTTTTTATATTTTTAAATGTATTTTTTTTATACATAAATATATTTAAAAATGTTAGTTATTTGTATATTTAATGTAATAAAGAGAATATAATTAAACTAGCAACTCTTCAACAGTCAGAATTTCTCCATAATTTCTATTTTCCGTAAATCTCTAAATTTATAGCAAAACTAAATTACTCAAGCAAGATTCAGAACCAAAAATGCATATATGCTACAAGAATAAAATTCAAATTTGCTTAATATAACTTTTTCATATAAAAATATGTGTATGACATGACAATTCATGACACACATATTTTTGACATGACAATTCATGTCATGTCAAGTAAACAGCAAGGTAATTTAATTTAAAAATTCTACTGTTGATGATTACAAGAGATAGAGATATAGAGCCAGCAGAGCACTTTTACCACCTCCGGACTCGTCGCTTCGCTCCGGCTTACAGTTCCCGGAAGCCATAACACGAGCCCCGGGCCCCAATTCCGCTATTTTAATATTGTATCAATAGTGTCGATGGAGTGTTGTCGGAATAATATTATTGTTAAACTACCATTCATCATCATCAACAGCCTTTAATAGTCCACTGCTGGACAGAAGTCTTTCCTTAGAAAGAAGGTTTTGGCCTATTAAACCACGCTGGCCAGACTCGTTGGTATAGGGTTTGTGTCAATCCCCCGGCGATGGCCTCCTAGGCCGGAGACGATGGGGAGCACGAGGAGGATGATGTTCCGCCCGTCCGGGATTCGGAGGTAGGGGCGGCTGTTCTACGGATCCGTTCCAAGAACACCGCCCCTGGGCCAGACGGGGTACCGGCCCGAGTGCTGGCCCTTGCCCTCAACCACATGGCAGACCGCCTCGGGGAGGTGTTCGACGCGAGCTTGGCGTCGGGACGTTTCCCTGAGTGCTGGAAGAGCGGGAAGCTGGTCCTATTAAAGAAGCCGGGACGGCCTGCCGATTCGGTCGCGGCCTACAGGCCCATCGTGCTGCTACGAGGACGTGGACGAGGCGGGTAAATTGTTTGAGAGGGTTCTTTCTGCCCGCATCGTCCGGCACCTCTACGAGGTGGGCCCCGATCTGTCGGACGCCCAATTTGGTTTTCGGGCGGGGCGTTCGACAGTCGACGCTGTTTTGCGCCTGAGGGCCGTGACCGAAGAGGCCGTGAGCTGTGGCGGCGTGCTGTTGGCGGTGTCATTAGACATCGCCAACGCATTCAATAGTCTGCCATTCAGCTGCATCAGGGAAGCACTTCACTATCATGGGGTGCCAAAGTACCTGAGGCGGCTAGTGGCAGACTATTTAGAGGAGCGTACCGTCGTGTACGAGGACCGAGATGGTAATTTGAGGTGTCGGCCCATGTCGTGCGGTGTTCCACAGGGGTCTGTTCTTGGACCCCTCTTGTGGAACATAGGGTACGACTGGGCCCTTCGCGCCGATTTCCCCCCCGGGCTGGGTGTAATCTGTTACGCAGACGATACCCTGGTGACAGCCCGGGGGGCAAACTTCCAAGAGGCGGCGCGCCTGGCCACAAGGGGAGTCTCCCTGGTGGTCGGGCACATTGAGGCGCTGGGCTTACGGGTGGCCCTAGATAAGACGGAGGCCCTATGAAATATCTGGGCCTGATCCTCGACGGGAGGTGGCTCTTCGACGAGCACTTCCGACAGCTTGCTCCAAAGCTGGTCGGCGCTGTGTCTGCCCTAGGGCGACTTTTGCCCAATTTGGGTGGACCCAGCGTCGCGACAAGACGGCTGTACACGGGGGTTGTCCGGTCAATGGCACTATACGGTGCACCGGTGTGGGCAGCGGCTCTGACCGCCCAGAATAGGGCACGCCTCTGGCGCCCTCAGAGGGTAATGGCGGTCAGAGCCATACGCGGTTACCGCACCGTGTCGACGGAGGTGACGTGCGCGTTGGCCCTTAACTCCCCCGTGGGATTTGGAGGCGGAAGTGCTCGCCGCAGTTTATCGGCGAGTGGCTGACTCCCGGGCGGAGAGCGGATTTCGCCCCCCGCCCGAGGATGTGCGCGAGTGGCGCGAAGCCGCTCGCCGAGCCACGATGGCTCGTTGGTCGTTCCGGCTGTAGACTCCACGGGCTGGCTTCGCCGCCGTGGAGGCTCTCCAGCCGGTCATCGCCGAGTGGACAGGGCGGCAGCACGGGACCCTTACCTTCCGGCTGACGCAGGTGCTTTCCGGGCACGGTTGCTTCGGAAAGTACCTGCACTCGGTCGCTAGGAGGGAACTGAGTCCCGCCTGCCACCACGACTGCAGTGAGGACTCGGCCCAGCACACGCTGGCGGTCTGCCCCGCATGGGCGACGCAGAGCCGGGCCCTCACTGCAGTCATCGGAGTGGATCTCTCGCTACCGGCCGTAGTACGCTCCATGGCCGGTAGCGACAGTTGTTTTACCGCGGTCGCAACCTTCTGCGAGGAAGTAATCTCTTTTCTAAACTTTTCTAAACACATATCTCACGAATAACAACAATATTATTATTATTACGATAATTAGTCATGAGCAGGAGCGGATCTTGAATTTGTGGGGCCCTGGGCTAATACTGCTTAGGGGCCCTACCTAATTGCCATTCCCAACCAATTGCCATTTTGACAAAAAACTGTTTTCTGTAGTGATGTAGGTATATATAATATATGTTAAGTACAGGAAGAAAATAGGAAAACAAAATATTTTATTTAATTATTAAAACTTTATTTATTGCTAAACTAGCTGAGACCCGCGGTGTTACGCGCGTTTGTTGTTATAACCGCGGGCAACGCCGCGGGGCGAAGCTAGTCTAAAAAAAGTAGCCTAAGTTACTCCTTATGTCATCAGCTATCTGCCAGTGACAGTCCCGTCGAAATCGGTCCAGCTGTTCCAGAGATTACCCGGAACAAACAGACAGACAGACAAAAATTGTAAAAAATATTATTTTGGCATATGTACCATGTAAACATACATATTATTATGCATTTAGTAAAAAGCGGTTATTTTAATATTACAAACAGACACTCCAATTTTATTTATTTGTATAGATAAATTGACAGGTTATGAATGTTTATGTTATATAAATTATAAAGCAACCTTTCAGCATTTTTGTGCTGCAAATTCTTTTATTTGGTCATCGCACTGTAAGTCCTTTGTTAAATCGCAATTTATGCCAAGAACTGGTAAATGATTTAGTCGATAGTTCGACATTGTTGTCCTGTATTTGTTTTCTATATACGACATCCTGGTTTGGGAAAACATCAACAAGTTTCTTTTCATAAATTAGCCAAAAAAATTCACTGCAAGAGGTGTAAGACTTTGTCTTAGACTGCAGTAAGTAAGATTTTAACTGAATGCACTCATTCACTATATGTTCGTCTACGTCATTTGGAAAATAGTAAATAATATTAAGTCCACTTTCAAGATCTATATGTTCTTAATTTTTGTCTTGCAAATCCATTAAATTTTATTTTTTTTGCTATATCTCATAGGCTTGGCTTCTATTATTTAAATATATTATATCGATGAGCGAAGTCCCCAGTAATCGACAATACACGGACTTTTCTAGAGAGCTGTAGATTTTTTTTACGTTGTTTTGAATTTGTTTATACTGTTTGAAAAAACAGATTAAAAAAACATACCATTCAGAAGATATAAATATGAACGTAAAATAAGGTTATTATCCACTAGGGTCTAGTTTATAACGTTTATACATACCTTGTAAGTATCTACAACGTCGTACCAAGGATCATTGATGTACTCTTAGTAATTAATGAGCTATGGGATAATTTACCATGACTGGACCACTGTTTCATATGCAGTCTTATTGCACATGATTCTAAAGGAAATGCGTTATAAAACCTATTCCAATAATTAGAGCATTAATTCAACTATTCACATGTAAAATTTAATTAATATACACTCAATAATTAACGAAATACTATTAAAATACTGACAATCGCCGCAATTGGTACATAACCCAACCGAGTTCGGATGGCTGCAAAAAAAGCGCCCGTGCAGTACGCTTACGTAACATTCTAAACTTTGCAGTATAGTAAATAGTTATTTTATACCGTTGCATACACAACAGATAGGTTTGAAATTGGTTCAAGTTTTTTTTATAAAAAACTTCAAGAAATAATGACTATTATAGATGTGAATACTAGGCATAGATTCATAAGTAGGTAAATTTAAACAAAATGTTGCCGCTTTAAACCCTAAATAAATCGCTTAAAGCGGTTGAAAACTCGCCTACAAAAATAAAAGAACTGTATTTTACACTTCATTGTAAGCAATTTTTGGTCAACTGACGTCTAGATACAATAACTCCATGCGAACGTGCCTACAGTCAGGGAGTCACTTTTAAAAGCCCATTTTGACAGCTGTCAAATTCATACTAGAGGAGATGTCAACTGTCAAAATGGGCTTTTAAAAGTGGCCTGACTGTAGTAATTGTCAGCAGGCCCCTCCCCCACTTGTATCCGCGAAAAGATAAAAAAATCTTTACACAGTTTATAGGAACTCCGTCATATCCCTACCTTGGTAAAATCAAGAAAATGTAGTTATAAATTGAAAAATACAGTTATCAACACCAACAGTTTTAAATGGATGATAAAATAATTACTTGATTTACTGTTAAATAGGCACAATATGGTCTTTATGCATATTCTGAAAACAGAAAACTTATTGGCAACAACGCATGAGGAACCCTAACCTACATACAAAAAAATCCAATGATAAATCCCCGTTCATTCACAGTTCACTCAGTATATACATTATAATCTATGGTTCACTCACTGTGTTTTTGTCGCATAGTCCCATGTCTATTTTGAACCAATATATATAATCTGGCAACATTCATCCATTAAAAAAATTAAATTCAATTGGGATTTTGTTATGATTCACTGTGTTTCCAATTAGTCATTTACATTGTGCAAACCCTCTATTCGTGTTTGTGTAATCAAAAATAGTATACTTTTAAAGAATCAGTTTTATATATTTATAAAAATGGCGCTTTACCCATCCTTAGAAGACATGAAATTGGATAATATGGCTCGGGCTCAGATGACCCAGCACCAGACGACATCGTCTGCGCCATCCTACGCCCTGCCTCATACTGCTCCTGGGGCTAGTGCCCCGCTAGCTCAGGTTTACCCTGCTCTTGGCGACTACATGGGACTCGAATTATCCTCTGATGTTATTGCTCTAAACATGCCGGAGTATCAAATTCAAACGGTAAACATGTTCATCTCCATTATTACGTGTTATTAAAATATTTAAACTAAAGCCAGTACCTATACACTAATATTGAATAGATGGCATAGTACAAAGTTGAAATTGGATAATCATACAATCATGGTCTTCATTCTTATTTCCAGATTCAGCCAGGGACTGTAAGTAACTTAATAGCACCGATTTCATCTCAGTCAACAACTTTGGCTAAAGCAACAGTAACTCAAGCTATTAGACCAATAGTACTATGCAAGGACAGAGATGGCAAATGTGGCCTGAGGTTGCATTCTGTTAACAGTGGGATCTTTGTATGCTATGTAGGTGCCAATTCTCCGGCAGCGCTTGCAGGGTTGAGATTTGGTGATCAAATTTTGGAAATCAACAATGTGTCCTTAGCTGGTATGACAATGGATCAGTGTCACACTCTACTTAAGAAAGCTCCAGCTAATGGGATCTCAATGGCTGTCCGTGATAGGTATTTACACTTAAAAAAAAAATATCTAATGGTATTGTTATTGTTTTTCTAGTTAGAATATGCTCAATTTTTTTTTTGTTTCAGGCCTTTTGAAAGAACAATAACTCTGCACAAGGATTCACTTGGTCATGTGGGCTTTCATTTTAAAGATGGCAAAATTGTTGGTTTGGTGAAAGATTCATCTGCAGCTCGTAATGGTCTTCTGACAGATCACCAGTTATTGGAAATTAATACTATTAATGTTGTTGGTATGAAAGACAAAGAGATATCCAAAGTTATTGATGCCAGCCCATCGGTTGTCAATATCACTATAATTCCATCGTACATATATCAGCACATGATAAGCAAGTGAGTAATTAACAGACAAAGTAAATTGTATGATATGTAACTTAATATATTGTTTGTAACCGGAAATTTCCTTTAAAACTTTCCTCTTAAACAGTGTTAAATGTTAAAACTGGCTTGTTGACCAAGTGATAAGTGATCCTGACTGTTAAGCAATACAGGGATCAGATGACCGTGTGTGTGAAATGTGTCAATTTATATTATTATTAAGCTTTGATTTTAAATTAACAAATTACTAATTAGAAATCTCTTCCAAGACAATTATCAAATTCTATTGATGTGGTAATATCAGTTATAATTCATCTAAATTTGCAAGTTGGGTGTTTTGTAATGTTGTCAGTTATTCAGACACACTATTGCTATATGTATTATGTAAATTAGAAGATTGGTATCATGCTATTTACTCTGCAGTATTATTGATGAATGCCATAACTATACTTAAATTTATGTATATTATTATACTTTCAGGATGTCATCATCTTTGTTCAAAGAGCTCGACCGCACTCCTGCCGTTTAAGCAAGTATGTAAAGATACTGTTATGAGCAAAGTTCACACGTAAACAGCTGTACTTTTATATTGAATACATAACAATTGCAGTTATTATTGTGACTAGTTAAATTTTGACAACAATGATTAAGTTCTACTCATATGGAAATAAATAAACACAATTTAAACAATATAAACTGCACAACTTTGCTCAAGTTGAGGAAGAATAACAATAATGGTTTTATAACACACACCTTATTTTCTAATAAATAATAAGTACACAAATTGGCACAGTATAAAATTATCTTTGTAGTTGAAATTTAATTATAAAAAAATATATTATTTCTACTAGAGTAAGTGTTCCCTTATACAATGATTAGTGTTTATTTTATGTTAAGTGGATATCGTTATATTTGTATTGCTTTTAATAGTCAGTAAGGGCTGTGAAAAGATGCCAAGGATAAGAATGTGCTGTGTGAGTTTGCTTATAAAAATATTTGCACGGTGCTAAGTTTTGGAAATAATTAAATTCGGATGATGGAATTTGGAAGTAAGGGTGTTAATATATTTTGAAGGCATTATTGTGACCTTTTCCTACTATTAAAACAGCTTTTCAATGAATGCCCTCCATATCATATGTGATGATAGAATTTGTAGATTTACCACAGAATAATCCATCAACATTCCTTTATTTTTGTACTCTACATACATAAATTTCTATAGGATTAATTAAAGATTTTGTATTTAATAGTTTAATATTACAAGTCTGAAAATTTAAAATTTTGTTTGTGTTGGACAAAATGGTCATCATCATTGAATGAATTGAATCATTATGTAATGATAAACATTTTATTTAAGATGAACCAAATATAAAATTTTAACAAGGCAGGCTAAGGCAGTAAACCAGTAAGGTAATTCTTATTATAATCTAGAACAGAATATCTAGTTGCCGTCTCAAAAATGCAGCTTTATTGCAGCTTATGCAACGCACCTCCTTAAAATTGTACAGTCATGGGTTATCAAATTCTAACTAATTATTTATAACAATATATATGTGTATATATATGTTTCTTGATGGAGTATCACGCTGCAAAAGAACAAAATGAAATAATTCGAGTTTATGATATTAGTGTGTGATGCAGTTTCGTCATACACTCACGTCACTTCATTCTGCTTTGCTAGTGTAAATTTTATTTAATATCTGGAAAAATTATGTGTTGAATCTATTTTTAATCTAGAAAAATATACTCCAAAAAAGAAACATAAATATGGGTTGAAAATTATTAAATGTACCTAAAAGTCTTGATCAACACATGACATTTTGTTTTCACACAGGTCACTAAACTCAGCGGAGCTATTTTACTTTTCTTGCAAATTCGTATATTTTATATATAGAAACACATAAGCTCCAAAACACATATTTACAAACCGTACAAACATTTTGTCCGACCTGGGAACCGAACCCGAGACCTATGCAGTGCAGTCGCATACGATACCACTGCCCCCCATCGCAGTCACCGCCAATCCATGACTATACTCCCACAAAAAAACACTCAACGCGGCTAAAAAGTATAACTTAAAATTAAAACCCTTTAAATGATATCCATTTAAATTGTATCGCATTTGGAATATCACTTATTCACCTACCATGGTGTGCACCACACCATTTCTTTTAATGCTTTTTTGAAAATTGTCACTTCAGTTGAATTCACTTGATGTTAATTAGGATTTTAGGAATTAGTTTTACATACGAGGTTATTTTGATTTTTGTTAAATTCTTTGCTGCCATGTACGTACAACTTGGAATTGATTTTTATTATTACTTTTTTGATTTTGACTACCTTCTCTGAGAGGTCTTCTTTGAGGTATTTGACGACGTAGGTAACAGAGTTTGTTACAAAGTAAATAAACCCAATGGATAAACTTTCCTTATTGATACCAAAACGTATTTTTAAAACTATAATACAACATTATTTTTAATTAGTAACTGATAATACACGTAGTGTACAGCGCTAAAAAATGTTATCTTGTCAGATATATAATCGTTCCTTATGTATCAAGTGCTTAGGTAACATTTGTTAGGTTTTCATGATGAGTTAAAATTTATTAACAGTATTTTTATTCTAAATTCAAACGTTTGTTACGTTTGAATTTAGAATAGTGCATCACGGTATTTTGATTTATAGGTAATATATATTTTTGGTGTACCTACGTACACCGCAGGAGACAAAGCGAGTTCACACAACTTACCAAAATTGCTCCATAAGTATGATTTATGAATATATATATATATATATATATATATATAAATAAATATATTGCACCTTTTTACGAATATTGCCATAAATAAAAAAAAACTATCAAAATAAAGCGTTAAAAATTATTCTAAACATTCGAGCGTTAAGCATATATTGTGGACCAAATATGGTTAAACTTGGCACATACATATTATCGTCGTGACAAGAATTATGAACGACGGTTTTGAGTAATGAGGCACTGCTTGTGAAGAGGTGCACTATAGACACATTTATACATCAATATAGATCTATACTTTTTGGGTTAAATATGTGGCTTACTAAAAGATAATGTTGTATAGACTAGTTGATCGTGCCATGTGTAATATCCGAATTATTTACATTTCACTAATTTCATCGAAGTATGCATATTAAGTTACGTGTCTACATATTCTATATAATGTATAGACTATGTTTTATTATCTTATTATTAACTTAAAAATATGTAACTTTATTGTAGTTAATATTTTTTATATTCAATAAATGATTTCATAAATATCTGGTTGTATTTATTTTGGACTATTACCACAACTAGTTGTAACGTCTTTTTTAAGTCGTTATAAGATGACGTACTTACTTGTCTCAAGTGGCCACATTTTTTAAATTATGTATATTTACTCACTATTTTTTTTACAAAGATCAGATTCATATTTCCTTTGTATTTTTTATGTTTGTTAAAATCTCAGATCAAAGTTTGATAAAACTTTGCGAAGAACGAAGTGACGCCGGTTTTATAAACATGTGTGCGTTGGCCGTCAAAATGTTATTTTATTGAAAATATTGGTTTGTACGCTTACTTATGTGTGAGATGCGATTCCATCGTACTGTCTTTTGTCGTTTGATTTTTACACCTTTTCACATTGATATAATACTTACATAGATGAGTAATTACCGCCTAAAATCGTTGCTACTGCACATCTGTCCACAGGCATATGCGTAGCAAACGTCAATTCAGTATTCAATGTGGCGTCAACCGAGTTGAACATAGCGACACATGACAGTAACAATCGCCAAAATGGGTAAATGCGTAGTGAAAGAATGCGATTCAAGGTCACAAAACATTAATAAATCATGCGGAATTACTTTTCACGTGTAAGTTTATGGTTTTTGTATTGATAATATCGTAAATAAGGCTATAATTGAAATAAAACATTGATAATTGTAATTTAGAATCAGTGTTACCATTAAAAAATCATTTTTGTTTTCCCACATTAGTGGGAGAATTTATAATTTATGAAATAATATGCTTTATACTGTTTTTAAACATTTTGTCAATCATAATAAAATATAGGAAGAACGGTAGTTGTTAGGGCTGAATCGATCACTTTTTTAGAGACCCGTTGAACGTTCACCTTCTGCCAAGCTCGCAGTGCTGGAGACTTTTGCATAAAAGAATTAATTAATTAATTCATTCATTTTTCTTAATTAATTATCAAATATAAATAACAATTGTAAAAATATATATATATATATATAAAATAAAAAAGTAAATAAATATAAATAAAAAAATATAAAAAGCAAAAAAAAAAAATATTTTTTTTATTTGTATTTTAAAATATTAAAAGAATTTGCAATACACCCTGGGGATTATTTATTATCAGTACAAGTTGATCATTCACTTTTACTATTAAATGCCATTATTTATACATAGGTAAAAATAAGATTGTATCATGAAAGTAAAATATTCACACAAACTTATAAAAAAGAGTCTAAAAGACAATTGTATACAAAACGGATGCTTCATAGCGGAGTTCGATTTTACACTGAATATAAACCCTTTTAAACAAATATTAATAGTTATTTTATTATTTATACCTATTTCATTCAATTCGAAATATATTATTTAAAATATTTAAATTAATTTATTTTATTACAAAATTGTTTTAAAAAAAAATTGTTTCTTGGTTGTTATGGGTAAAATTTCATACTGTAGTCAACACTGGCCCACCATCGTAAAGTTATGTCTTTGTCTTTGTCTAATCCAAGCGATGGTATTGTTCTTGTCTCGCGTGTAAATGAGACATAAATATGTTTACTGTCAAATGTTTAGTGGTATCAAAGCTACGTCGTCAAAGTTCAAAAGTGGTTACACTTTTTTCGATGTGTGATAATGAGGTTTGCTTCTCTAGTGTTGTTTTAACTCAATGCCTTTTCACAACATAATTCAGCATTTTTACTTGCAAATATTGTTGACATTTTTGATGACGTTTTGACTGACAAGACGTAGTTTTGTTGTACGTGTGTGCGTGTTATTGTGTATGCACACGCCAAGGCGTAGTTTTTAAGACGTTAACGTGTTTACAGAGTACCATCTTAACATTTTTAATTGGTCTGAGGTTATAATACCTACATCAGGACTTCGCCTCATTTAAGAACCGACTTTAGAAACCTTTTTTATTTGCGACATATAGGTAAAACCCATGTGTGTTGCAAATAACCATTATAATTGGTCCCATTCAGTTACAGAGTACAGTTTATTATTCAGCATGATGTAAGCTCGTTAAAGCAAAGCATACGATTTTGTATGTTGTGTGTGAGAGAAGCAAATCAAACAACAAATTATATAAGTTCATAGATTTATTTATTTTATTTTATTTTATAATATCTACATGGTTGAGTATAGTGACAGATTGTGGATAGACAAAACCCTTTTATGTTTTTGATACTAATTTTATTCCTAATAACAAAATTGAGCTCCACATTGGACGCTTCTATTCTTCATTGTACCCGTACATACGTACATTTAACTAGGGAATTAGCTGGCTGATTAGGTATATAATCAACCACCTTTCCAGATTTTTTAAACAAAGTTTATTTTTCTCATTCTGGTTTGCTATGATCGTGACTAGGAAAATAGTTTATCACCGGTTTACCTGGTACCGAAAACAATAATAAAATAAAGAAAAGAACCCTAGACACTAAAAGGGTTGTGGAATGTCCAGCCAGGTTTCAGGATGACTTCTATACAAGACCATGACTTGGGTATAAAGAAACTGTCGTCCTTCGATGTTGGACAGTTCTTGCGAGCGAAGTGTTCCATCGAGTACAAACTCATCAGAAGCCCTGAAACATAAAAAAGTTTAAAGATAGATTTTTGTACCATAGTTACATGCATACGTTACAATTGTTAAACCTAAGTACACCTAAATGAGTCTGAAATGAGAAATAAATGGGTACGAGACAGGTCTGCAAGTCTCAAGCACAGGTCTGGGGGTGACAGATGAGGCCATCTGTCACCCTAGCAGAAGCAGGCCGGGTTGGCGGCGAGCGCGTTGAGAAGCGCGCGCACCCTTCCGGGAGCACCAAGGGAACATGGGGGTTCCCACGCAGGAGGGGCTCATCTACACGCCGTGATGGTCCGAGGTACGTCGAGGTACCAGGGATTTCCTTTCTAGGGTACACCCGGTTCCCCGACTACTGGTACCCGAGATGGCGTGCGGTTTTTAGTCGGTTCGAGTCCAACATAGCCACCGGTAGGTGGTATTCAAGGGGATTTCCGCACAGAAAATACAAATAAAAAGGTACTTATTTACAATCCCACACTTTAATAAAATTAATTTATAATAGGTACCTAGGTTCTGTTTCTTTCGATAAATATATTTGTCAGTAAAAACTTCTCTAAATTTATTTAAAAAAGAATATCAATCGTTTTACTATCTAATTTTACTGCAATGACTTATACTTCAATAGCTTTTATAAGTTTTATACAGAACTTGAAGAAAACTACTTTGAAGATTTACGATTATTCTCTCAAAGTACCAACATCACTTTGAAAGGGTGATAGGAACACGCATCAAGATTCTAAACTTTTGTTAAATGTCCTACTTAAAGTAAATTTCTACCTTTGTTGGAATTTCTTAAGTTAGAATCTCTCTCTCAATTTAAGGGCCAGGCCCTTGTCGGTGGAAGTTGTTACAATACTTTTCGAATTTAATAAAGGTTATTTCTAAAGCTGTATGTGGTCGAATTAAAATAAATTTTGAGTAGTTTCTTAGTAAATTTCTGTGTAGGTCTGTATTTAGGCTATTGAGGTTCAAAGGTTTCTCACTATAGTATCACTCGAAATGATCTTACGATACTTGTTGTTAGTTTGATAACTGCTAAGTATGCTTTTTACATGATAACCCTTTTTATTGTTTTTTTTTTAATTAATACTTACTCAATACTTGTAATGTTTATTCGGAATAGATTGGGATTTTTGTGTAGTCATACAAGAATTCAAAAAAGTAAATGGCTTACGTCAACAGTCTTTAATAGTAGACATAGGCCTCTCCTTAGAAAGGAGGTTTTGGCTTACTATGCCATGCTGGGCAGACGGGTTGGTATAGGGTTTGTTTCAAGTTTTTCTTCTCTTTGTAGTACGTACTGTTGTACTGCATCGTTTGCTCCGTTAGTCGGCTCTATGACACCCACGGGATGAATACGGGTGGCGACACTCCGTATTCTTAATCCGTCACCACACGGACCTCGCTTTATTATAAAGTTACTACAGCTTTGACACTCGTGCCTTGACTACCTTGTCTTCGTCATGGAGCTGTGATAGAGTAACCTCATTTGTACCAGCAAAAATAGAAGTTATTTTAATATTTTACGTACCTGTTACCTACTTCGTACCTATTGATAAAAATTATTAATATGACTTTTATTTTTCATATTTGTTTTTAATTTCACACATCTCACACACGGCAGTCTGATCCCAAACTAGGCAGAGCCTGTATTCTTTTAACTGGACTGATGATAAACATACTTATATATATATTTATACACACATATAAATATATTTACCGTTTCCAATGAAGAATGAAAGCCACATAAGTAAATTGAATATATTAGGATAACGGCGTCCACTAGTCGCAGTAAGTGGTACCATTAATACCCCAAAGACTCCGAAAATCACCAGCAGTACAGGATAGAAGAATCCAAATGATAATGCAAGGATTACCTCATGGGCAACCGCGGACACCTGGAACAAACAGCACTGTTTTATAATACAGTTTTTTTCTATTTAGGGACATAGGACGAGTCGCCTGATAGTAAGTGACTACGGACACTGCCCATGGACACCTACAACTCCAGACTCGTAGCCGCTCGTCCCCCAAAATCAGGGGAAGAGGAAGAGTTTGGGCTCCGATAACCTCACTCACTCGGTGAAAAGCTATGACAGAACTGCTTTTCCGGTTTTCTGTGGGGCCGTGGTGTCACTGCGGTCAAGCCTGGCCCATTTGGGTCGAATCATGGCTGTCCTACGAGTAATTTATACAGGTATTAATCACAGGTACGATAAAGCTATTTGACGATTCTACAAATTTGGTATTACCTTTGTATTCCCATTCCTTGTTTATTTTGTACTATGTTGGTTATCGCGGTAAAAAGCAAACCATCTCCATAAAAAAAAACATGTAAATGGATTCAGCGATTATTGATGCCCTATAAAAACTTCCACCCCACTTAAAGGATGATTTCTGGAATAAAAACTACCATATGTACAGGACCCGGGACTCAAACTGTCTCTATACCAAATTTCATCTAAATAGGTTCGGCGGTTTAAACGTGAAGAGGTAACAGACAGACAGACACACTTTCACATTTATAATATTTTTGTACGGGTGGAATATGAAGTCAATTTTTTTGTAAAATATATTTAATTAATCAAAGCATGCACCGTTTTTATCTATGCACTTTTGTATCCATCTCATAGGCAGTTCATTGATCCCTTTACTAAAAAAACCATGGGGGTGAGAATTAATAAACTCTTGGAAGGCGGTTTGGACTGCCGCATCAGAGTTGAATTTTTTTCCTTGTAAGAAGTTGTCCAAATTCTGAAAAAAATGGTAATCTGTTTGAGCAAGGTCCGGGGAGTACGGTGGATGGTGTGGTGGAGTCGCAGACATTCCAATTGTAGCTCATCTAACTTAGTGGTTGTTTGTTGTGTAGTGTCGTGTAGCAGCAGTGGCCTAGAGCGATTGACCAATCTCGGTTGTTTAGCAGCTAGTTTTTCAAAAACCATGCAGGATTTGCAGTTGCTCATAATAGATATCTGCCGTAATCGTTTGGCCAGATTTTAGAAAGCTGTAGTGAACGACACCGGCGCTGGTCCACCAAACACTCACAAGTAACTTTTTCTGAGTCAATTTTCGTTTAGGGCAGGATTTGGGTGGGTCTCCAGGGTTCAGCCATTGCGACGAGCGCTTCCGATTATCGTACAGTATCCACTTTTCATCACAAGTAATGATTCGATTAGAATCCCTTCATTATTGTGTCGGTTGAGCAAAGTAACACAGTAGTCGACGCGTGTTTGCAAGTTCGATTCACTCAATTCATGAGGTACCCATCGTTCAAGTTTTTTTACTTTCCCGATTTGCTCCAAGTGGATTAATACAGTTTTATCACTTACCACGAAGCCTGCAGCTATCTCTGAAGTGCTTTGTGATGGAACCGCTTCCACAATAGCTTTGAATTCTTCATTTTCCACTTTGGTCTCCGGCCGTCCACGGGGTTGGTTTTGAAGGTTGAAATTTCCAGAACGAAAACGTTGAAACCAAAAACGTACCGTGCTTTCTTTTGCGACACCAGCGCGGTACACATCATTAATCCTTCGAGCTGTTTCTGCAGTACTGGTGCCACGGTAGAACTCGTACTCGTAAATATTCATGTTTGCGATATTTCATGTTTTCCATTGTGCAGTAACAAAGAAAAAAAAATGAGGAAAAAACAAATAAATGACTGTTTTCAAAACTCAAATGTACCAGCTAAATGAATTTATGAATTTGAATTTGGAATTCTTAACCAAAGAGGAGATATTTCAGATCAAAGTGGTCAGTACGACAAAACGAAAATTTCATATTGTAAGGACCTAAGATTATAAGTACGCATTTGATATATCTATACGAATGCATAGAACAAATTTAATGATAAAAAAATGTCTATTTTTCAACTCACCACAATCTTTCAGACTTTTGTCCTTTCATTGAAATATGTCACAAAAATTCACATCTGCATTTACATTGTTTGGCGAGTAAAATATTTTAAGGAGTTTTGATGTTAATATTCGGTACGTTAAATAAGAAAACATTCTTGACAGTAGGTAATCGTATAGGTACTTTCATTGTTCCGTTGGCAAAGGTGAGATATAAGGGGAAGACGGTATACAGCTACTGTCTTTTAGCTCGGGAAACCTCCCCTTATCTTGTCATATGCACGGCCGCGTGTTTGTGTCGGACGGGAGCTGAATTTTTGTTTGTCTTTTGGAAGGAAAAAAGAAAGCATTTCGCTCGTTTTTACGACAGATATTTTTGAATTTGGTTTTGTTTTCACATGATATCTATAACAAAGGAGAAATGGGATTTACCATGGTAGATGACATTAAACTAAGCATTTACTATGTAAAAACCCTCATTTCCTTAGGAGCCAGCTTTTAAACCAATAATGTTTTTTTTTATTAACTAATTAAGCTTATTACAATTTTAATAAAATTCTAATCCTAACTTAATATTATGTATGAATGAAAGAATGAGTTTGTTACTAACGCTTTTACACAGTAGGTAACCATACAGTTGATCATACTGAACTTTTGCATACACTTGATCCAGAAAATAATAATAATAACTTGACACAATAGGGTCATATTTTGACACGACACAAAAAGAAATCGTATATTACACGACCCAAAAAGGAAATTGTAAAATGATGACTCTTATAAACATGCACACGCTATGTTATAGGTATCTACGTAAAAGTCCAATAAATAGACTTCAGCGCAAAGTATATATACGAGTGCATAGCACAGTTAGAGTTGGCATATACCTAATTAGGATTCCTTATGCGCTTCATCTACTTAACTTATCTTACGCTGCCATTAGGCTGACATGGCATCATCCCTGAATCATAAAAAATGAATTGAATTGAAATGAATATAAAAAATATCATTAAGACTAATCTTATTACTTTTTTTTTTCTTTTCGAAATAATCTCCCGCACTAGTAATATATACTGACTACACAAACATCCATCGAACGGATACAAAGAACATCCAAACTCAGAACAACAATTTGTGGATCACACAAGGTGTTGTTCCATGTGCGGATCGAACTCATAATACTCAGCAGTAGAAAGCGGCGAGGTGACCACTTAAACCACTTCGCCATCCGTGCAGTCAAGACAAATTATTAGAACGTTTTATCTTCTTTACAGGTATATTTTTTTAGTAGTAGGTACTAAGAGAGAGCAACACATTCAATACTTCCTTACACATAAATTGTTGTTTAAAATAAGGAGGTGAAACATTATGTGGTGCTCGCGACTTTGTCTGTTTTGAATTAGTATATGAATATGCACAATAGGTATCTACGAATATATAAGAAACTACTTTTGCTTATATTAAGCAATTTGTGGGATTGATACAACTCACTGGTGTAATGCCAAGGTGCTGTTTGTCTCGAACCAACTAAAATCATATGTGTTCCGTTACGGAGTCCTACTTGCCGGAGTCTCAGATAGAAAACATTTCATGGAGTAAATGTACTCCGCCATACTTGGCCACCTATTGAGCGATAGGGAAGTGACGCGTAGTGCGAAGGCGCATTTATTTTTACGATAAAAAGAAGCCTACGTCCATCTCGTATGTCTTATTTATCTCTGTACTTGTATTTATCTATATACTAGTACAAAAAGCAAGAAATGCTAAATAACGTTGTTTTTAGGAATAGAAAGCTAATATAAAATTATTACCGCAAATACTATAAATGTGGACACAGGACGTCCTAGTGATGGTGCTAGAGGAACATAGATGTGATCACGTAACCAGCAGTAAACCACGCGATTCCAGCGTCGGTAATACCGTGAGAAGCAGGACGTAGTCCACCAGTCCTGTAACAATTTAGGTAGGTAAGAGAATATGACAAATACCTTACACTGTTTTATAAAACTTTCCAAAATGTGTGCAATGTGTCTACAATAAAACGGTTATATCAGCTTCGGGTCTTTAAAATTTGTTTTTATTAAAGCTTACAATAATCATGCCTTATCACATACGATAAAAGTTCTATTTGTGATAATAGGGTCGATAAATGGAAATATTTTGTAATATGTACATTCATTCTCCCGATTTTTAGTAAAGTCTAAGAGCTTCCAATCCAAGGAAGTAATTTTTTTTTAAATAAAATTGACGGGGGTTTCGGGGGCACGCTGCACGTCCGGCATGAAACTTACAATTAAGTAGGTACAACTACATTAAATATATTGATACCATAGCAATTATTTTATCTTATTTACAAGCCACATGAAAATAGCATTTAGTGCATTTTATACTTTTCTACGTTCGTGGCTTGCGACTGTTATAGAAGTAAGAATATATTATGCATTATTAATAGTCCAGAATTGTTAATGAATTCTTGAATTGATTTTAAAGATTGATTAGAAGCAATTATTCAACTTATTATATTATGTTACTAGGACTACTTAAAGAAATTGTTTTATCGTTATAATGTCAAGAATTTATTGCTTCACATCAATATGACCTTTTTGTATCTTACCTCGTAAAAAAGTCGATCTCCGAACTTTAATATTTAAATAAAATTGACGGGGGTTTCGGGGGCACGCTGCACGTCCGGCATGAAACTTACAATTAAGTAGGTACAACTACATTAAATATATTGATACCATAGCAATTATTTTATCTTATTTACAAGCCACATGAAAATAGCATTTAGTGCATTTTATACTTTTCTACGTTCGTGGCTTGCGACTGTTATAGAAGTAAGAATATATGCATTATTAATAGTCCAGAATTGTTAATGAATTCTTGAATTGATTTTAAAGATTGATTAGAAGCAATTATTCAACTTATTATATTATGTTACTAGGACTACTTAAAGAAATTGTTTTATCGTTATAATGTCAAGAATTTATTGCTTCACATCAATATGACCTTTTTGTATCTTACCTCGTAAAAAAGTCGATCTCCGAACTTTAATATTTCGGCCCAAGCATTTAACCAGGCGTGAAGTAGGCAGTAGAAACCGCACAGAAAGCATAGTACGCCTGGAAGCACACACGCGAACATTCCACGCACGATAGTTCCGGCCTCAACCTGTAACATTTTACACATAGAAATAATAAGTCAGATAAATCTAGAGTACGCAATACTAATAAGTAGAACTAGAACTTCGTAGAACTAATAAGTACGGTATTGTAAATTTATTAAAAAAAAACTCACAAATTCAAACAATTCATTACAATGGTTAGAAAATGCTGAAACGAGGTAATTATTTGTAATTTAATCGTCAGAATAACGTTATTAAGTTACCATGAGGACTTTTTAACCGTCATTACGCTCTAACATAAAAAATGTTAGTCTCCTTTAAAAGAGGTTAAAAGGCAAGCTAAAAAAGGGGTCAACACTGCTTTTTATTTGAAAGGTTGGGTTTAGGATGTAACTGAGCTCATCGATCCCATTCGGTACATTATCAACTTTAAATAAATTTAGTTAACACGTAATCGTTAAAAAACCGTTAGTGTGTAATTACAATCATCTGTAATTACTAAAGTTAAAAAACCTCTTTTCTTCTAGGGATTAAGTATTACGTGAAAAAATTGAAAAAGTGAACGTGTGAAGAAAAATTGCATTATATTGCTTGCTTTTCGTCAATTTTGAAGTGAAGTTGACCGTAGTCGTAGTTTCGTTTCGCCCAAGCGCTAAATACGGACTGATACGCGTAAACTATGAGCATTATTGTTTTATTATATTCGTAGATATCGTTTATGAATAAAAGTTTCACAAAAATAATGGGGATAACAAATACTTAAGATAAATGTTAAAACATTAGTATGTTGTATGTATGTATGTACGCCAGCGTCGCATAGTAGACTAAAACCTCCTTTCTAAGGAGAGATTTATGTCCAGCAGTGGACTGTTATAGGCTGTTGTTAATGATGATGTATTTACTTGGTTAGGTCACTCTAGTTTAGATCTAATTACATTCTATCTACTAAGTCTTTGTTTTTCATTATCTATAAGAATGCTCGTGACCCGTCTCCACGTTTGCCCCTATGCCATAAGAAAATAATAAAACATGATATTATCAGTAACAAAAAGTTCGTTGATACCCACCCGTCTCTGTTTGCCGTAATCCGACCAGTAAGGTCTGATGAATCTCTCCCAAAGAAAACAGTTGTAAAATAAAATGGCGGCCACTTCCAAAACATAAACAACGACCCTGCCCCATCTTATTTTCTTTGTCCTGTAGACAATGGAATTGAAAGCTTAAATACGAGTAAAACAAAACATAAACGATTTCACAGAAAAGTCCAGTTCAATGCAGCTCGCGTTAAATTCAATGTTTAATCCAGTGAATTAAGATTTTCATTATTGCATTGCATTATTTATATGAAACGAACTTGTAACGTCTTATTTTACTTAAATGTGTGTATCGCACTGCATTTCTTTTGCCGTTGCATCATTGTGCCTACATCAAATATGATGATAATGATGTAAGTGAAGTACTAGTATTAATACTTATTTTGTGGTGAAGTTGCAATTCGAGCTATTATCTGTTCGTGCTTAATCTAGAAATACATACCGACCAACAGACCAAAAACAGAGACAAAAAATGTTAAAGAGACATTTTTTGTCGCTCTTTTTTGTAACCTTTAACTAAACTTTAGTAACCTGTCTAGTGATTGGTGTATTAAGGTTAAGAATTATGTTGCATTGATTTTAACGCTGCAAAAGCGCAAAGTGGAATTTTCAATCAATCAGTTCAAATGCGGTATCATCCTCTTTATCAATAACTACATGTCGCGTCCATACGATGACAATAGTGTCTATGCATTGCATTTAGTATTCTACACAATTTGTTGAAATATGGGATAAAATTATAAAATATTTAGGAATGTCAATTTCTAAATATTTTATAAATATTAAGACGCTTTCTATTCAATTTAAAGTTTAACAGATTAATACAGTAAAAAGGTATGTAACATTTTTTTAACAAATAACATTATATTTAATTATTTATATATTTCATAGATCTACAAGTGGCAGCAATATTTTCCAGACAACTTTAGTATGCGCCTGAAAAAAACATTGTATATCGCAATCGTACTAATAAAGACAGAAATACCGCCCCGTAAAATCCAAAAATGAACTTATTTTTTTACAAAAGATATTTAATATCAGAACCCCTGAAAAAGTTACCAGCTCTAATATTATTTATCGATCGAATGACAGTATTATTAATTGTCGAACATTATTAACATATGGCTTAGTACGAATAAGGCTAAAACCTACCCTCCGTGAATTGTTAAGCAGATAAAAATATGCTTATTAGCCAAACTAGTAGTAGAAAATACTGGTTATTTACCTGGGGTATTGGTCTCTGTATAAAAGGGTCGGCGCAAATAGGAAGTAGACGTAATGTTGGAACGTTGGCAAAGGTTTTTTACCGCTAAGACATCTTGGTCCACATGCCACTGCTATCGACACTATTTTCATCATGAACCGGAACTGAAATTAGAAAGAAAATAATTCAATTGCATGCTTTTTTTTTAATAGCTGTTGTGAATTTGTGTTTCATCTATAGATGACGTCACAAGAATAGCTCGATTCGCCGCGTCAAACGCCAAACTCCTCTTGTGGGATGTACTTGTAATATCATAACTCCTTCGGATTGCAATGTAATGATAAATGATAATTTATAATGAAGTAAAGATATTAGTATATCCGGTGGTGGATTAAGAATACGGAGTGTCACGTCCCCTCAAACCGTTTTTTTTTTAATTCAGCATTTCTCAAGAAATATTCTCTCAATATACTAATAAAATTAAGTACAAATAAGGTAGTGTTTATTATATCTCACAATTTTTTTACGTTGAAGAATTGCGATGCCTCTTGTGAGATTTGAGTTTTAATATATACAAATAAATAAAATTGAAGTGTCTCTTTGCAATGTCAAAATAATAGGGTTTTTTTATGCTTACACGGTTATTTGCACAATACACCAGTTTAAATATTTTTTGTCTGTCTGTCTGTTTGTTCCGGGTAATCTTTCAAACGGCTGGACCGATTTTGACATTATTCTACTACCTGCTATACTGCTGCTATCTATATAAGTAGTAACTCAGGCTATGTTTTCTCTCAGAAAAACCCTGTAAAATTTTGTTTTTTTCTTGGGCAAAATTGTATGTTATAACATACGATTTTGCCGAAGAAAAAGGCATATATGTCTAGAGTATTTACATGAGCATTATTCACCAAACATTTAATTCTGATATATCTAGAAAAAAGCAGATTACATTACATTATCTTTACACTACCTATATAAAATTGCCTTGACTGACTGATTGATAAATCAACGCAGAGCCTAAACCGCTGGGGCTTCAAACTTGACATTTTGGCAGCTCATGCCTTTTATGTTGTAAGCACCGACTAAGCAAGGATTTTTGGAAATTGCAGCCCTAAGGGCTAAATTAACGGATGACCGTTTGTATGGAATACCGTCATTTTCAAATTTAGAAACACGAAACAAAACATAATTGGCCAAACCGCGGGCCATAGCTGGTTTCTAATAAAGTGTAAAGGTTGTTGTATAAAGAACAACTTTATCTACTAATTTACTGGAATACCCATCGGATCAATATATAATTGTTACCACGTGAACTATCGCGATTTATAGGCGATCGTAGTAACAAACAGTCGCTGTCAAGCACTTCAAAGATTCTCCTATTTTAACATGGAACACGAAAAGAAAAAGGTAGTATCATAAAAATATTGATAAAACATCTACTTCAAAACGTCGAATTAAATTGAAATTTCGCACACTTATCAAGGTCTGATGACAATACAATAATTTGATAAAATTGGCCGATTATTCTGATCTTCAGGATTAACGGCTTTTTCCATACCTAAAAATAAGGTAGTGTGTTTTGGTACATATTAAGCATATGTGACTTATTTACTTATTACTTTTTTAGACTGCATGAGAAAATAATCATCATTAATGACTAAAAAAGCAAAAATAGATTATAGTTTAAAAAAAAACACGCCTTTGTAACTAGCCGAACTAAAAAGTAGAAAATGTTTGCTTATAACTTCAAAAATAAATCTTTTATCGTAAAAAAGCGTGGGGTTATTTTTAAGATATTTTATAACATAATAACACCCCGATCATTTTTACGATGAAAAGATTTTTAAACTACTAAAAATTTATTTTATCAATTACCTTACATATGTGAATATTTTTTTTTAGTGTAAAAAACAACTGCCGCACTAGAAATATCTCGTGTCGCGGGGGTCTTTACAAACTTACATGAAACGGGCACAAAGAACATCGAGACTCAGAACAAAAATTGAAAACTTAATATTAAAATTTTCTGTTGTAAAATAGTACCATCCATTGCTATGCTGATAATAGCAGCCTTTTATACCAGCCGTCCCAATATTTCTCGGAAAAACGTCCTCCAGAGTCGAACCAAACTTGTGTTTAGTCACAAGTTTGTTTCCTTTTGTTTGTTCCTAACTCCCTTGGCCGAGGCTTCAGATTTGGGTCGACTGAATCAAGTCATTTTTAACCACAAAGAGACGCAGGTTTACGCGTTCATCGCAAAAAAGATACCATTTGTCGTTGCTCCTATGTTTGAGAGCACCTCTCTAACTGCCTCAGCCAGTATCGGAATCCTAGGTCACTTAGAGGGTAAGGCCAAATTAGCCTCAAATAAGCTTGGTGTGCTGAACAGATCGATGCAATATTTCACTCCCTGGCCCACCGCGTATGAAATACTGTTCTCATTTCTGTGCAGAAGCACCCCAGTAGCAGCTTCTCCCTCTGGACAGCATCCAACGAAGAGCTACTGAAATCTTCGATAGCCAAAAGATTGCCGACTGACTCGATCCCTTGGCGATACGTAGAGATGTAGCTTCAAACTGCATTCTCTATCGTATATTTCATGGAGACTTCTCCGAGGAATTGTTCTTACTAATAAACCAGCCGCAACTTGCCGCCATCGTTCCACAGAGAACAATTTTCATCCCCATCACTTGGATAATTGGCACTCCACCACCGTTCGCTTTTCAAGAAACTTTTACCTCGCACAACCACTCTGTGGAACAATTTACCGTTTGCGGTATTTCCGGACCCACAAGCCTTCAAGCGTACTCGTTCTTCAAAGGCCAGCAACGCGCTTGTGACTTATGAGTTGCAGGCGTTTATGGGCGGCGATAGTCACTTTCCATCAGGTGACCCGAATGCTCGTTTGCCCCTCTCTTCCGTAAACAAAAAAAAATCTTTTGCTAAGCCACAGTGCATTTGTAACTTCCCTAGTTATCTTAGCATTATGTTTAATAAAACGAGTCACTCATATAGTTAAGCATTCTGTATTCTATTTCTAAGTAAGTAGAAAGTAAATCTTATAAGTTAGCAAGATGGCTACCCTAATCTCTTAACTTATAGCTGTTTAAGTACTAGGAGAGTTAAGTAATAGCATAATTACTTTCTCTGTAAGTAGCTTTCATAAAGTTTAAAGAGAGTTGTGTAATTTTAAAGATGTTGTAAGTAGCATAATATTTTCTGAAGTTGGCTATTTGATTATTTGTTTGAAGTCTTTATTTACAATGCTATATTTTCATTTACTCCTTAGTTTTTACGATTTATTTACTTTACTGTACTTGAAACCAGTATTTTCGGGAGTAAGAAATATATTTTACTAAAAAATAATTAGAATTATTAGAATTTTTTTTTAAATATTTTTACTTACAGTATCGTTTTATGATAAATCCTGTAAGGACACTGTAATTGTTTTTAATAAATAAATAAATAAATTTTTAAATAAACGTACCTCAAGATATCATACTTATTAATTCATTCATATAATTACTTAATTTGTGTAAGTATCTGAGTAACGTATTTTTAAAACAGAATCATGGTTTGAACGGAACGTACCTTTGGTATGAATACAAACAGCGATTCTAGGGAATACCTCTATACGAGTACATAAGTATACACAGGAGAACTCAAAGTAAAAGTCGCTCCTTCTTTATGACATTTGTGCCTATATTGTATTGTGGAGTCTCTTAGTTACTTTTCTATTGTTACTTCAATTTTCTTGTTACGGCCCCAAAAACACAATTCATTCATGTCCAGATTTTTTTATCGTGGCGAGTCCTGCCTCTTTTTGTTGACGTGTAGCAAGGCGGCGGTGAGGGAAACAAGAGTTTGTTGTTAATATCAAGGCATCAACATTCTGTTTAGGTAACCTTATATTGTATAAGTTATCTGCTAGACATATCCTACAGAAGTACAAGCCAAGGGACTCTCACGATTATTTTACCGTAATAAAGTAGCTACAAGCGTAGTGCATTCTCTCATCAAGCTAAATATTTCTCAATGAATTCAAAAGAAAAAGTAATCTGTGTTACAGCTGTCTCTTTTAATTAAGATATTGCAGTTTCTGTTAAACTATATTTTTTTCATAAACAGTTGATAGAAGTGATTTCGAAAAATGCTTGATTTTTTCTTATTTGTAACTCTAGTTCTATTTAAGACTTTTTACATCATCTACACGGTCAATCATAATTCTAGCTTTATCTTGGAGAGAATAGTAAAAGTTTCCTCTCTACCTACTTCTCTCTAAATCTACTCTAATTTTATAAGATGCACCTATATTTGTGTATATGTATGTGATGTATTTACACAAGTCAAATCTTATTCTGGGTACCAGAGTTTATCGTAAATACTGTTAATATCGTGTCTGTGACGCGATTTTTGTTCCAAATTGAGAAATAAAACATGTTGTTATTTAAAAAAAATATGTTTTCTGACTGCTCTTGCTAGTACAAATACATATTTATGTATATTCGTACTACTGTTCTACGAATTGTTCAAAGAACGTGTGCAAGTTTGTCCACTGTTTGTAATCTTACAGTGGTCCTGACGTTGCGTCAGCGGCATACGGGTCCAGTTATGTAAAGGCGCCGAGCCATGCGGCTTGACAAGGGTCTCTACTCAGGTGATTTATGTAACATTTCACTTTCAACGCTGTTCTATCCCATTTCTTTTACATTAGGTTATTTATAATTCACCATTTTACGTATTAACTAAGAATTTATTGTCACGTGGGTGTTGTGTTTGTTATAAATGTGTTAAAATGACTGAATTAAGCTTTCTTATTAACTCACTCCAGTTTATACGATTACATATGTGAATGGAAATAGAAGGATGAGGGATTATTTATTGATGAGAGCTCAGATCAGCGCAGAGCAAAGAAGAGACTTCGCACAAATTGAAAATGTTTGTTTGTAATTTTTATATTTGTAGTGATTGAACCGTAGAATGTGAATAATGTACCATACTTTTTGTTTTGTCATGGTGGAAAATCCCTTCGGATCTCCTACTCCTCGGGGTCTTCTACTCTGGGAGGACCCGAACCATGTTACCGCCAGAGGTCCCCACTCTCTGGCGGCCCGCGGCCCCGTCGACGGCTGGTATCGGCGCCGACGTCCTCTACGTCCTAGATCGACCCTCTCCCGATCCCGTTCAGCGGTCTCTTTCTGGAGCATTAGAAAGAGACCACTGCGCCCCATCCCTCCTCACCCGCCAGCATAGCAGCAATGATTGCTTCCAATTTGGCCAACCAGGACTTTGCGATGCACCATACTTACGTATTGTATTACATTCGGTGAAATGAATGTTTTTGTGTCAGGTTTCTTTTCTTAGTCATAATAGGTTTTATCTTTGGAAAACACTTGTGTATCTTTATGCTATATACAACTGGATTTTGCTTAATTGCATTTGTTTAAATGCTATCGTACGGCTGTGGTCAGAAAAATTGTTAACGAGGTAATTTAATTTTCACATCACATTATAGGATTTGCGTCGGTTTCAGCTCCTTTGTCAAGTTAAATATATTATATTGACTTTAATTACATCTGTCGAAGAAAGCTGTTGTTCTACTAAAAGTACGAACTACGTGAAGCGAAAATATACCTACATATTTGAAGTGATTGAGTTACAAATTGTGTTGCAATTATACTTTCAATTGAAGGTTTCTTTATATGTTGAAAAAGAATTTTACATTTTACCTTCTTTTGAAAAACTAATGAATAATGGTTCTTAAATTGGAACGTTTTTTTTTGCATTTTAAATGTTGTCCTAAATCTTAAATTCCGAAGTGTAGATCCAGTTTTCCAACCCATTAATGCATGTTCTAGGAATCCAATTTATTTTAATGAATATCAACAGTAGGTAATAGGTAAGTAATCATTAAAATTTAACGGTGCTTTTGGTTCAAGAGTCCTCTGGTTTCCAAGAGCCTTTAATTTAAGTTTTAATTTAGTGGTTTGAATATTTTAAGGTGTTTCTTTATAAAAAAAAGAAGAAAACAAGTGTGCGCTCCTACGTGATCATGAAATGTAGGTACTATGTGTTCGAGTGCTTGGAACTTGTTAGGAACCATAATTATTTTAGATTAACTTTAAAACGTGAAAGATTTTTTGTTTCAGATTGATTTTAATTTTATACTTTACTAGGTTTTGCCAGCGACTTCGTTTGCGTAGTAGTCGACATCAGATATCGCAGAGAATACGTTATTAACAAAAATAACGAAGTTTCATATAAATTTCCAACCCCCCTTTTGCACTGTTAGGGGTGGTTTTTTTTTTAAATATTTTATTAGTGCACACTTATGTCACCTAAGGAACATTTGAGAAACAATTATGATTCTAGACCCAGCGGTTGCAATAAGTCAGTGAATCAGTCTGTCAGTTTCTTATTTATATATTATTATTATATTTGGTTTTAAAAGTATTTTGTTATGTCATCGAACTTTAAAAGATCTTCCTCTCACTTCAAAACTGGTCTTTTACACATCATCAAATAATGAGTGCTTTTGTTCATCTCCAAAACATACAGTTACTTTTCAAACGTTAGGTATTACTAAGTTTGCTTATGCTTATTAAAGATTTAATTAAGTATATTCCATATGACTTCCACAATGATATTAAGATTAATATAAAACGGACTTTAATCGGGAAAACTTTAAATGAGTGAAGAATTAAAGCTCGTCTTTTTATATCTTCTTTAAATATTATTAGAGGTAATTAGATACTTTCTTAATCTGGTGCAGTCCGGGCCGTAAGGATCGTGGCTCTGCCCCCAAATCCAGTTGCAGATTTGCCCGGATATTTGGTATCCGGCTATTAAACATTTCGAAATGTGACTCTACTGGTAATATTGTCATCCAAAATATTTGCTTGCGACCGTGTCAGCTTTATTTACATACTTACCATTTCGGTAGAGACGGTCGCTGAAGACCCAAGCTCCAAATGACTTCTAGCGAGATCATAAACAGGGATCGATGACAACGTAAGCTGAACGCCAATCAATCCAAGTAGCCCTAGTTGAGTTGTTGCATGTCGTAGCACTGTGAAACAAATAATAAAATAATAATCAGGCCATTATTTATCATGAAGTATCACGGATTTTTAAGCATAGATCATTGAAGAGGACATATTTCTACAGCATTTAAAAACAAACTACATGTTTTAACTGGTACTAAATTTGACTATGCTGCAGACATAATGCTATAGAAATTCTTTCATCCCTGGGCATACAGGTCTGTATTAAGTGCCGGATTAAGAGAGTGCGGTATTTATCATCATCATATAGTACAGCCTATAGTAGTTTACTGCTGGACATGGGCCTCTCCTTAGAAAGGACGGCACTCTTCCAGACGGTAGGGTTAGACTAATCTTAAACTTGAAACAAACCCTATATGGCTTGTTTTAAATTTCAAGAAACAAACTCTGTAGGTTTTGTTTCAAGTTTGCCAGCCGATGGCCTATGTCGTGTGGTGTTGAACAGGGCTCTGGTCTTGGGCCCTCTGGTGGAACACAGGGTGCGACTAGGCACTTCGAGGAGACTTAACCGCCCGGGCTGGGCGTAATCTGTTTCGCCAACTATACTTTGGTCGTCTGTTTCTCGGGGTGTCTCTTTGGTGGTTGGCTTAAAGGTGGCCCTGGATAAGACAGAGGCCCTCTTATTTCTTGGGCCTCGTCGTGGTCCTGGCGCCTCAATCATGGTCATCTCGGTCATCGTACCGGTTCAGGCCCAGATGAAGGATATGGGCCTGATACTTGACGGGAGATGGCTCTTTGATAAGCACTCCCGACATCTTACTCCAAAACTAGTCGGCACTGCGTCTGCTCTTAGATGAAGAAAGAAAGAAAGAAAACATATTTTATTTCTAAAACACACATAATTATCATCAGCCTATTGCAGGTCACTGCTGGACATTGGCCTCTCCTATTGCACGCAACTTAGTTCGATTTTGGGCAAAATGTATTATAATAAATTAAAATATAGTTGGCAACCCTGTGCCGAAAACATACAGTTCCAAATGTGCCAGCCATGTCACATGTCACGTACAATGTGGCAACACTGGCTACGTGGCACTCATACAGCGGCACAGTCACACTGGCAGTCACGTTTTGAATGTTTGACGTGGCAACAGCTTGTTTTATTTATATTTTTACCATTAATAAATTTAGTCACAAAATACCTTTTTTGCAATTAATAAGTTATATCAGTGAGAGATGCGTTGTGTGTTAGAAATTTGGATGGACACTCAGGATACACTGAGATGGGTATAACCCACCCCAGTACTGATTTTCAGTGCCAACTACGAGTGTTACTTGACCTCGTCGGGCGACATTACCCAATTATTTTCTTATCAACTAATATCAAGAAATAAAAACACTAAAACTCAATGATAAAACGTTTGCCCAAACAGCGTCGCTTCAAGACAGCTGTACACGGGGTTGTCCGGTCAATGGCACTGTACGGTGCCTTTGGCGCCCTCAGAGGGCATTGGCAGTTAGAGCCATGGTTATAGCATCGTGTCGACGCCCGGCCGGAACACTCGCGTTAGATTATAGAAGGAAGTGCTCGGATAGCGGATGTCAGCCCCCGCCCGAAGGGGTGCGCGAGGAGCGTGAAGCCTCGTTGGCTCGTTGGTCGTCCCGGCTGGAGGCTCCACGTGCTTTGCCGCCGTAGAGGCACTCCAACCGGTTATCATCGAGTGGGCGGAGCGTCAGCACGGGACCCTTTCCTTCCGGTTCTTTCCGGGTACGGCTGATTCTGCAGTCGTTCGTTAGGAGGGAATTGAATCCCGCCTGTCATCACTGCGATTGCAGTGAGGACTCGGCTCAGCACATGCTGGCGATTTTCCCAGGTTGGGTCACAGTGCAAAACATAATTTTTGGTGCAACCAAAGCTCACTTTTAGAAATGTATTAAAAGTTTAAATTATAGTTCGACATTTAGATGCAACTCTTTCGTGATAAGAATTGTGGCTTATATTGATTTGAAAAAATATTTTTACACTTCGATCGAAATAAGAAGATACTTTTTTACGGTCAAAAAGGCGGAGCCCCAAATGCGCGGGGTCCGTAGCATTTGCTACCCTTGCTACGTGGCTAATCTGCCACTGTTTGTATTCTCCGCTTCGCTTATCGATAACAGTTTTAATCCGACCCAATGTTTGAACTTTAAATGCTATCAAACTTTTTAATAAATTCAAGATTATTATAAACAAAACATTATAAATTTACCTCAGAATTCAGATTTAACTGATGTTGCAGCTCTGAAATAATGTAATCGAGTAAGCACTAGTTCGAAACCTATAAGAAACTTTAAATTAGGTATACTTTTAAAATCGTTTTCTCACCATTTAAGCCAACAAAGAACAACGTACCTAATTAAAAGTTTCGCCAAAATATAATATAACTTTTGAATTGAAATTTGAAGAGAGCATTTTTGGACTCTAACCGCTATTTAATTAACATGTATTTGGTCAACTTTCGTTAATTGAAAGTTTATAGGAGGAATGTTGTTGTTCTATCAGCGTGTAACTAAATAATGCTGGCACAATTAGATGTTGATGATAGATAGATATATCTTTTCAGGATGAAAGTCTGCGATGCGGCAAATTGGAAGGCACAACGAGAAAACTATGTATTTACAAGAGGAATTGCAACGTAAGAATTACATTTATTTCTAGGAATATCGTCCGGTTAACATGCAGTTTTTGTGCTTAGGATAAAATGTTATATCTACAATATTCACATTGCCATTTAATGAATATGATCTATAAAAGAACGAGTAAACACAAAATAAAACTAACTCTCGGCTCTTTTTAATTTCTTTTGCATTTTTTTTTTGTTTTTTGAACAGTATAAATTATTGTTTGTGTGAAGATAATGGAAAAACACACATTTATTTTATTTTGACAACACTATAGCTCATCATATCATCATCAACATCAACAGCCTTAACTAATCCAGTGCTGGACATAGGCCTTTTTTTTTTTTTTTTTTTTTTTTTTTTTTTTTTCCGTGCGGAAATCCCCTCGGATACCACCTGTCGGTGGCATGTCGGACTCGAACCGACTAAAACCGCACGCCTTCGCCGGGTACTAATAGCCGGGGAACCAGGTATACCCTAGAAAGGAAGGCCCTGGTGCCCCGACATACCTCGGGTCATCTACAGACGAGTAGACGACCCCCGCCCCGTGTGGGAACCCCATGTTCCCTGTGCTCCCTGGAAACGAGCGCGCTTCGCAACGCGCTCGCCGCCACCCCGGCCTGCTTCTGCTAGGGTGACAGATGGCCTCACCTGTCACCCCCAGGCCTGCGCTTATGGAGGACGGAGGTCGTTCTGCGACCTCCGGCGCCTGAGTCGCCTGCGCTGCCTGGCCCGTGCCCGGGCCTGGCGGGCCGGGAGAGTTCTAAACCTCTCCCGGTCCCGCTCCGCCGTCTCCTTCGCGAGCATAACCTGCTCGCAGAAGGAGACGGCAGAGTTCCACGCACTCTCGCTCCGCACGATAGCCGCAATCAGGCTATCGAGCGAGAGAACTCCCACTCTGATACAGTGCCGCAAGGGATCTCGCCTCCAGGTCCCACGGTGGAGTTCCGGCCAGGAGACTCGCTGCCTCAAAGGAGATCGTGCGGTACCCCCTTATGATCCTGATGGCCAGCATTCGCTGCGGTCGTCGCAGTATCGCGACGTTGCTGGCCTTCAGGGCCCCCGCCCATACCGGGCACCCGTAAAGGGCCATGGACCGCACAACCCCCGAGTAGAGTCTCCTGCAGGAGTCATCGGGTCCCTTCATGTTGGGCAGCAGCCGCGCCAACGCACGCGCTGCCCCAACCAACTTAGGGACCAGACCTCGGAAATGATATCCGAAGTCCCATCGGCCATCGAGTACGAGCCCCAGATACCTGATCGAGGGCTCGATGCCGATGCGAGTGCCTCCTACCGTGAGGCTAGATCCCTCAGGCGGCTTCCTCCGAAGCCCGTGGAAGAACAGGGCCTCGGACTTGTGCAGAGCCACCTCGAGACCCAGCCGCCGGATACGCTCAACGACTTGGGCAACCCCGGCCGTGGCCCTCAGGGTTGCCTCGTGGTGCGTCTTGCCGCGCGCCGTCACGAGTGTGTCGTCCGCGTAGCACACGACGGCGACACCATTCAAGAAGGCACCACGAAGCACCCAGTCGTAGCCGATGTTCCACAAGAGTGGCCCTAACACCGACCCCTGCGGAACACCGCACGACATTTCACGCCTACCGAGACCGGTCCTACTGGGGTAGACGACGGCTCTCTCCGACAAATATGCCCCGACTATGCGGCGGAGGTAGAGAGGCACTTCGTGATACACGAGCGCCTCCCTGATGCAGCTCCAGGGCATAGTGTTGAACGCGTTGGCGATGTCCAAGGACACCGCCAACACCACTTCGCCCCGGGAGACTGCTTCCTCCGCCAGAGCCTTCACGCGCATGATCGCATCCACGGTGGAGCGCCCCTGACGGAAACCGTACTGGTTGTCCGCCAGATCCGGCCCAACCATCACGAGATGCTTGACGAGGCGCCTTGCAATCACTCTTTCAAAGAGCTTGCACACCTCGTCAAGCAACACTATGGGCCGGTAGGCGGACGGTGAGTCCGCCGGGCGCCCCTCCTTTCGGATGAGGACCAGTTTCCCCGTCCTCCACAATCTCGGAAACTGGCCCCGCTCTAGGCATGCGCTGAAGAACCCTCGCAGTCTGGGCTCGAGAGCCTCGTCGACTAAGGCCAGGACCCACGCTCGGCCAGGAATGCCATCGGGTCCCGGGGCGGTGTTTTTGGCTTTAAGCCGTAACACCGCCACCCTTAGTTCCACCCCAGTGACCTCAGGCACGTCGTCGTCATCCACGTTAGGCGCCAACGACCCTCTCAAGCAGCTCTGGCTGAAGACACCGTGTGAGCGGCGGGGCCCATGGGCGCATCTTGCCCCTAACCATACGGTAGGGGCGTCCCCACGGATCCCGCTCCAGTGTCTCCAGCATCTCGCGGCGGGCCTCGCTCTTGGCCCGCTTTATCGCTGCCTGAAGGGCCCTCTTGGCAACCCTGTAACCCGCTAACAGCTCCGCCTCTCTCGCTGCCGCATCTTCGGGGCGGCGACGCCTCCTGCGGAACCTGGACCACCGGCGGCGCGCGGTCACGCAGGCTTGACGCAGCCGTGCGATCTCCGGCGACCACCAGTAGACCTGGCGCCTTGCAGTATTGGGCTGAGCCCTAGGCATCGCCGCATCGCAGACGCGGGTCATGGCCTCCCGGAACCACTGTGCCTCAGCATCGACGTCGACAGGCCTGTCCGGCGCAGGAGCCCAGGCCTGTACGATGGCGGCTTCCAGGAGGAGGTCGCGATCTAAGCGCTTGAGCGCCCAACGTGGTTCAGGTGGTGCCGGTCTGACCGGCGCGCCATCTGTAGGGGCGGAGACGTCAAACCGAATATATCGGTGATCCGAACCTGTCTCCTCCCCGACAACGACGCGCCAGCCTTGGACACGACGCGCTAGCGAGGGGCATGCGAACGAGATGTCCACAATCGAACTACCCCTCGCCGTCACGAACGTGGCCACGGCCCCCCGGTTTAGGAGAACTAGGCCGAATCTTTCAGCCCAGTTCTCCAATGCCCTGCCCCTCGGGTTCGTGCGCAGGGAACCCCAAGCCTGCGACCAGGCGTTGAAGTCCCCCAGCACAAGAACCGGGTGGGGGCGACAGGCATCGACGACGACGGCCAGCTGAGCGAGCCATTGCTCGTACTCAGTTAGGTTTCGGTTCGGCGTGAAATAAGCGGCCACGACCGCTATATCTCCAACTATCGCCGCTACACAGCCCCGTCCCCTTGCAACTACTGCAAGAGGTGGAGTGCCGTCTGCGGTACCGTGCACCAGGGCCGCCGTGCCGTCCAAGTCGGTCTCCCAGGCAGGCCCGAGAAACCGATGGACATATGGCTCGGCGATAGCGGCGATGTTGCTGGACATAGGCCTGGACACTATAGCTCGCTATGATTCTATTGTCAAGTTTTAACGTTATTATTAAAATATGTATGGCTTTTTAAACGAGCTGTATTACTGATTAACATACATTTCAATAAGAATTTAGAACACCGAAAGACTGCATAAAATAAACCATAAAACAAAATTTAGTAAACAAATAACTTTATACAGGAAAAGTTGAATCGTTACAACAGCACAGAAACGTTCCAAAGGGTTGTCCAAGCGTATGATTATGGCCATCCAAGTGACTAATTGACCTAGGGTATGGCATCGGCAGGCGTCCGGTAACTCGCAACAAAAGTCCACTCGACCGGCCTCGAGTGTGTCGGGTTTTGAGAGCGCTGGTCAATTCCAGCTACTCCCTCCCCCAACTGCTGCCGACCGCTATTATATACAGAATGTGCTAATTATATGGGAACGATCGATATTACGCTTATTGTTGGTAAGCTTTGGTTTTAATTGTTTGGTATTCCTATGACCAATGTACGATATATGTTAAAATAGTGCCAATTTAGTACCAAATACATGAGTTTATTTTTTTATTATTTTAATCCTAAGTTAGTTTGTCAAAAAAGAATATAGAATAAACACTAAGTAACTTTAATCTATAAGTAGACTGCGTTTTTAACACACTCTAATTATAGTTACTTTTAAGTGCTCGTTACGCTTCTAAAACAATATCTAATTTCAAGTCAATGTAAGTAGAATAACTATAAAGTACTTTAATTCGATTTTCGATGTAATCACTTTGTAGTAGACTTTTTGTAGAGTAACTTAAAAGGTACAAAGCCAATTTGAGCGACATTAATTTTTCAGAGATATAAAACTATAAATGTAACTTCTTTTAAATATGATGTATTTAATAAATACCAATGAGGATATTTTATAAAATCCATAATTGCATTTGACGGGCCTGTTGGTCTAGTGGTTAGTGACTGCTAAGCCGGAGGTCGTAGGTTTGATTCCCACCCAGGACAATTAATATTGTGTGATGAGCACGATCCAAGTGATTCTGTATATGTTTGTAATTTATCTATAATATGCATGTATTTAGAAATATATAAGAATGTTTATTAGCAGTATAGTTACCACAGTACAGGCTCTGCCTAAATGGTGGTCAGGCTGAAGTGTGTGAAGTTTTTATTAATATTGTTTTGTTAATTACGGTCAAGATTATTTAAATCTCGATGGTGTGATCATAGCTTTTATCACATTATTTTATATAGTACTAGATGTACCCTGTCAGGCTTGGCCGTGGCACATGTTGGTTCCATTGATGAGAAATGAAGAACAAAAGTAATACAAAAAATAGAAAAAGCAATCTGTGAAGCGCGTAGTATATCATGTCCAAATTGACAGAATTTGAGGTCAGTCGGTGCAGCACTTTTTGATTTTTTAAGCGTACACAAATAACTATTATATATATGATAGATTTGACAAGAGTGTTCGGACTTCCCAACAACAGACAGTATGAGTAACAGGAATGCAGTCTGACCAGTTCACATCTCATTTCGGAAAGAGATAGCACGGCATATGATTTACATTTAACTTGAAAAAAATCTGCGGTTACGTAGAAACAAATTAATGTATAATTTTAATTTTTAACCCATATGTATACTTTGGACCGGAGCGGAAGAATAAAGTGCTGTATTAAATACATGAAAATTATGAGAATATGTAAATATATCTTCAACAATAACTACCGACGGCAATAAATTTTAAACTAAATATATATATTCATTAGCTTGGTCCCGTCTTGTGTATGGGGGCAAACGAGCAGACGGGTCACCTGATGGTAAGTGGCTACCGCCACTCATAGACACCTTCAACTCAAGAGCCGCAAGTGCGTCGCCGCTTTTTGAGTGCCTTGGGAATCAGGGCGAGGGAAGTTTGGGCTCCGGTAAACTCACTCACTCAGTAAAAGCAACGAAATAATTGCTTAACACCGGTTTTCTGTGAGGCTGTGCTATCACTCCGGCCGCACCTGGCCCATATTTGCCGAAGCACGGCGCGGCACGATTCCCAGCAATTTCAGACGATTCCACGATTCCCAGAAATTTTTAAAACTAGAAATATTTATCAAATAAATATACCTACTTACTACCAACAACATTATAAATACTGTTAAAAAATCTATTGAGAATGAGTAAACAGTTCAAAATTACCTGGGTATTTTCTGGACAGGTTTCCGAGCCAGGCGTAGACCAATAGTAAAGGATAAAACAAAAGTGCAACTGACAATTCGTATATCCATAACTTAAATCCACGTCCAATATCTCCAAATCCGTAAATAACCATACCTATTCCAACATTTAACCTGAAAACAGTAAATATATTTCATTTGTTTGCAATACTTAACGTGGAATTATTCTTTATTAAAACTACCAAAGTGTATACAGAATGGTAACATGGCCTTATTAATTATCAAAAGAATTTAATTCTTATTTTTAGGTAACTGAAAGAAAAATAATTTAAAAAATAGAAACTAAGCGAACCCGATTTTAATATTATAATTATTCGTGTTTGTGATGATTAACCAATATGTGTGTAATGAAGTGTGTTACTTACTTATGGCACACAAATTTGGCATCGTAATGGATTATAGTATGGATTAGCTCATAAGCTGTTTAAAAGAAGACGACTCTATGCGTTAGAGTCGTCTTTTATGTAGCTTTTATGTATGTAATACAAAATTACATCACTGTAGAATATTCAGTTAAGTTATTCGTACGATAATTTCCATCTATTGTCAATTGTAAAATAGCTTCTTAGCTCCAAAACTGTCCGAAATGATTTTATTCGTATATAACCTTAGCGTACCAACAAAATTATGAGTATTATATTAGCACAATGTAATTTTTTAAGTTTAATATTTTCAGATAAGATCAGATAAGTGTAATTAAATTAAATTATGTTATTGTTGTTGTTGGTTTATAACACCCATTGCAAATTTTTGTCCCCACGTTTTGCGGCTTATTAAACATAAATAATATAATTATGATTATGTATAAAAAGTTTTATTTTTCATGTTAATTTTTTAAAAGGTTTTTTTTGTCGTAAATGAAATCTATCATAAAATAGCGGCCAAAACGTGCGTGGCCATGCTCAGTGTAGGATTTCGTAATTTATATTACTATCCGTTCATAAGTAATAAGTAACTTAATCTATCTAAGTACTGTTTTCTATGAAATTTCCTAGCACAATATTTTATAAGTTGATGTGGGGGCACGGTAGTGACGACTAGTTAAGCGGCAATTACCATCAAGGGCATTACCTACATTTTCTCGAAGCGGTTCATTGTTTTTTGAACTTTTATAACTTAGGTTTGGATTATAACAGGTAAGTAAACCAATGTCTTTGAAAGGCCAATCCAATGAAATTTCAACCACGATGTGGAAAGGTCAAGAACATCATTCTCATTTTACATGTAAGGGAGTTACCAAATAGGAGGATTTTTTACAACTATATTATATTTATCCACGCAAAATTACAGTAATATTAACTAATTATCTAGTACCAAAAATCTATAAAAGGAAGTAGTTCTACCAAGGAACCCTTATAGTTCCTTGGTAGAACTACGAGACCGTAAAACGTTAATGGTATATTAACATTTGTAAACTGAAGTGATTAAGGTAATAAATGTGGATAATTAAATAATTAAAACTAATATTTTATGCTTATGCCGAAATCGCGTATAATTATCTTAATGTTTACTTGCTTTCCATTCTCGACCAAGTCGTATATGAGGGTATCGCAGAAGAGAACAACAAGTATAACGACGAATATGTGGTATATTGCTCTGAGGTGTAGAGAAGATTCTATGAGAACGGTGAGAGGAGATTCCCGTTCAACAAATTCTTCATCTGTTACTTCTTTCTCATGTACTTTATTTGACTCATTCTGTCCATTGCTTTTGCCTCGGTATCTTACGCCGCTTTCTCCCATGTTTACTGTTTAGTCTGAAAAAAGTAAAGGATTTATATTTCTCGCTTGAACATATTTGTGTCTTTATATTTAACCATAGCTGGTTTATTGCGCATCACAACGCAATAATGCCCGTTTTATAAGTACTAGAGGAGTTATTATCCGTGTAAAAATATGATTTGAAATGACGGTTAGCACATGAGTTGTCAAGCAGGTTATCGCTGATTCTGACGATTCCAGGGAAGAGCCGGAGCACTGCACTAGAATAACTAAAATCAATTAATCAATGAGCCTTCTACCCTGAACATTTAAAATGGTTTTTCAAAATATTGTAATGCTTTAGAGAGTGGCTTTAAGTTCAGCGTGTCTCTTGGTATAGGCCTCCTCTAATATTTTCCATTGTTTTCTATTTCTAGCAGCCCTTTTCCAATTAGAAAAGTCAAAACACCTAAAGGAATATAAAACTACGCATGGAACATATACGCTCACTACATCAACTCCTGAATTCCTCGCACGCGGGTCGCCCAAGCGTGAATGGCGACCACTCGGTGTCCATCCGTAGCTCGTATGATTGCGATTCTATTCGCGAAGATTACAATTCTTCGCTCTTTTTACTTCTGCGTCAATATCGTAACAATAATTTAAAAAAACTTTGAAACAAAACTGAAAATATTTAAATTCCGCGGAGATCGCGTCTTGGCAAACGTAGTGTAGGACGCCCATAGGCCAGCTAGAGTGAAGATCTGGCTGATGAACTGATCTGATGATGGCTGGCAGGAGCTGAATGCGAGAATCCCAAAATCGATCTAAGTGGCGTGCAATGGGAAAGGACTATGTCCAGCAGTGGACTGCGATAGGCTGATGATGATATTTAAATTCCTGACATTTTCTCGTGAGCTTGATTTAAACAATTTTTTTTATTTTAGGACAATTGCCAATAGTGAATTTTATTTCCGTTGAATAATTAAAAAGAATGAATATTTAGCCGACAACGCAATGTCCAGTCGTTGACCACGCTAAGTACTGGTAACAATTCGGCGTCTACCGGTGGACCAATCGTCGTTCACTGTTTGACAACGTGGCGTGTACCCGTAGACCACTTGTCAACGACAAGTTGACACCGAGCACGAGGTGGTTGGTGTCGGGTCTAATGAGCAATGATCTTGAATGTGAAAGTAAGTTTACTCGTTTGTTTCTTACGCTTTCACGCCTTAACCTCTAAACCGATTTTAAAAATTCATTTTAAAGATTTATCAACGGAAAGCTACATTATTAGTAAGGAACATAGGCTACTTTTTACCACGATAACCGAAATACACGCGAGCGGAGCCGCGGGAAAAAGCTAATATTTAGTATTGTTTAAATATGATCATCCAAATAATAAATGCCGAAATGCTGACAAGTTAGGGATTGGGGCTGAATCTGAATGAATGAAAATTTAGTGTCAAAATAATTAATAAAAATCAATTTGCTATATTCCTTACAATATTTAAATTTGAAGTTAATTCATTGATTAACCACTAATTTGCTGAGCACATTAACACTGAACACTCCTTTTTCTAAACACTTTTGAAAAACATCGCCGACTAACTAACTGAAACATCTGAAATTTTATATTACAACTTTCATAGCTTATATTCTAATTCATTAAAACATTTAAGTCAAATCTTAAATTTAACTGCTGACTATTGTTAAGTCATACATTTATACAACCGCCATGTTAGCTTTAAAATTCGAATTTCCAATTTTTAGAACATAAATTCCGCCATAGATCATAGTCGTGTAATAATACTAAAGGTAAAATGCGCTCATTTAATTATGACTTAATTCTAATTACTGTCTTTTAAAAAAACAAAGTACTTAATCTTGTGTTTTATTTAGACAATATTTACGCTTTACAAAATATGGATACACGTTTTGCTGCAAATTTTTATCACTTACTTATGTACCTATAAACTACACAAAGAGAAATTACGCAGTTCGTTCACGGATTTAGCAAACACTTCGGATTATATACGTACACCTACATATTTCTTAGAAGACGTTATAATTATGTTGGTGCATTTGTATATTAAATTCTTAAAATTTTGTAGTACTTTTCTTAACCTTAAAACAAATTTCCAAAGTTTCGTGATTTGAAAATTAGCTAACTTTTAATTATTATTAATTATACTATTAATTAAGCTATTAACGCCATATATTTTTGAGTATATAATACACAGAATAATTGTTTCACATCATAAATAGCCTTTAATAGTCCACTGCTAGTCAAACCCTTTCCTTAGAAAGGAGGTTTTGGCTTACTATACCACGCTGGCCAGACGGGTTGGTATAGAGTTTGTGTCAAGTTTTCCTTCTCTTTTCAGTGCTGTTGTTCTGCATAGTTTGCTTCCTTAATCGGCTTTTACGACACCCACGGGATGAATAAGATAATCCGTCAGCATTACTATATCGAATAATTGTGTAAATTAAGGATTTTTTAAAATATATTTTTAAGGCGGATGGAACATCCTTGGAAACCTTCATATCTTAAGTAGATGGAAAATCTCGTTAATCTTGATAACAAATCAATATGTCTGCTAAGAGATAATTAACTTAATTTTGGACTGAATTAGATTATTAATAAAGTATTCTGAGTTGAAATCTTATACTAATGAATTTGGTGACTCAAGTAATTTCCATTAATATTGCTAATGTTAATGTAAAGTAGGCGCAAGCTAATGATATAGATTAAAGGAAAATGAAACTTCTGTAACCACGATTAAATAAAGACATTGTTGTTAATTCTGAGTCAATGTCAATTAAAATGCTTTAGAATAGTTCGACAAGAGTGTAAATCTAATTGTTTTTGCAAATATGAGATTATAAACTATTTCAATTGACTGTTGTACAGTGCCTATTGTACTATTACACTACTAACCTCTGAGCAATTATTGTTTTAACTAGAGGTTAAAAAATAGTTCTGTTGGTCTAGTGGCCGGTGACCTTGACGGCTAAGTCATAGGTCGCAGGTTCGATTCTGATTCAGGACAAATAATAGTATGGTAAACCCAACCATTTGTTCTGTGTCTAGATGTAATTTATCTATATATGTACCTTTGTTTTTAGATATATTAATATATATGTAACTATGTTTACCAACATCACGGCACTTTCAGTAGGTATTAAAAGTCACATCCCTATCTATTGTCTGTGACTAGAAGGTTCCAACAAATTGCTACAATAATTGCACATCTAATATAAATTACTATTGTTTGTTCACTGAGAGACGACACAGTACCATTAATATTAATGACAGCACAAAGACTAGATAAGCCTATCCTAGACCTTAGTGGTGTCACGAACTTTATTTAAAATAGTTTTTGTTTTTGTTCACAAACAACTCAATGATACTCGTAAATAGCAATGTTCAGAAATATATCTATTTCGATATTACCTTTTCATGCTGCTTTACAAAATAAATAGTAAAGTATAGTATAGTAAAGCGTAGTTATTTTTTCACGATAAAATTCTATCAGAATAATTAATTATTACATAAATGATTAGTAGATACATATGCCAAAAATAGCTTAATTGTTCTCTGAAATATTAATTATTTCTTATTTATTTTTAGAACTGCAATGGATATTTTGGAATATTAATGTTTAAATATTAAAAATAACTGATGATTTATTCACTGCCGCATTATGTAGTACCGACGGAAACGAAAGAATTTAAAGAATATAATTAATGTACACTTATTTAATTGAGGTGGCACGTATTTATTAGGTGTAATATAATATTTAGAGGGTTTCCTGGATGTTTCGAGGAAGTCAAGTTAATATTGTTTACAAATTCTTGCAATAAAACTCTACACAGCAGCCTTGGATTAATTACGTTAAAAAAACTTTCAATGCTTTACGCATTCAGTACAAAAAAAAATCAGAATGCTGATGGGGCTACCGAGGTTCTGCAGGATATCGGGTAAAGTATGCAATGCATCAGGAATGTTTGCATAAGCTAAAGGTTATCGTTTTTACACAATTATACGCAAAAGTGTCGCCTCACTGATGCACCGTTTACGGGAGAGCTCCAGCGCTCTTCTGAACACATTATTGGATAAACTAGACTGTCTTAGAAAGAGGTATTTTAACATTTGGCTAATACAAATACTTGTGAAAGAAATAACACAAATTTAATCTTAAAAATAATTAAAGAAATTAAACTGAGAATGCATTGGTTAACATTGTGGTATTATGTTAACGCTAAATGCCAAAATTTCCACATCATTCCTTCGATGTAAGTAATCAAGATATACAGAAAATTTTCAAAGTTTAGTCTGCATCCCAAGTAGTGTGTAATGATTTCAAAAAGTCAGCTGAAATAGCTCCTAAGATCAAAAGATTTTTAGCTATGACTGACATTGGTATCACGTTACTTATTAATTTTAACCCCATCTTTAACTGAAATGTGACGCAATTAAGATTCAAAACTGAATGGATTAACGGTTGTTAGTTCTCTATCTCTACAAATCTTAGTTTAAGGGTTATGTAAACACTTAGACAACTACGCCACCATCAAGAACTCTGATACATTTCAAAATAAATTGTTTACTTGGATAAAATTCTGTCTTAATTATTCATGGCCACAGGGTTATAAGACAAAACAATTTAATATGTATTAATATATGTTTATTTATTTATCTATTAAGTTATTTATACAATGGCGTATATCTCGAATATCTCCCAGTCTACCTTTGGGCGGTGGGGAAATGTCTGAGTAGGTGCACCAGAAATTAAGTTTTTTGTTTCAAAGAAATAATAAAAATTGGGGAGAGAGGCAGAAGTAGTGGGACAGATATACATACAAACGTACATACTGAAATACACATACATACTTACTGAGTTACATACATACAAATAATATATGAAACTTTAAGGACGTGATGAACCTCCTAGAGTGTCTAAAATGCGAACTCGGACTTTCGTATTAAATAAGAGGCAGCTGGGTGCTATCCTGATTTCGAGACGATTTCCACTAGA